TTGTTACAGATCAAATTATATTAAAACAAATCCAATAAGAGCTATCGATTTTTATGCGGTTCTGCGCATTTATGCAAACGCAGATCTTGGTTTCAGTTCAGACTGGATCGAGTCAAATTTTTTTGGCGTCTGCCCGATCTCTCGCCATCGCTTTCAGGCTGAAACTATTTTCAGCCTTACTTAACCGGAAAAAAGTGAAGTGATTCTAAAGTCCCTCTAGGCACTTCAGGTTTTCATTTAACATTTTATTGAATCGGCCAAGCTGGGCACACACATATACTAGCATTCGTACACATGTCATGCGATTGATACATAAGAGGCGAAAATGACAATTGTTACATAATTGGCCAACCCACGGGCTGCCCGTGCGAAGACGCGTTTTTTGCATAGTTCCCCGCAGTTTTTATTGCTACCGGCACCGGTTTTTTCGGCAAACGCTTCTAGCTAAACAATTTATGACTGACCGTCAGAACTGCCAGGCAGCACCCCCTTAAAATTTCAACTTATTGGAAGAAAACTTTCACGGACTCGCACGTGCGTACTATGCACACCGGGGGCGAGGGGCTGGGACTGAGCTCATTAACACCTACTTGAATGGGGAACATCCCCTTAAAATTTCAGTCTCCAGGTACTTCTGGTTCCCGAGTTAGCAGCTTACCCAGTTTTGGCGCGCTCTTACATGGTCACCACGCGGGTAAAGGCACCCATTTTGGGGATTGAGGCCCGTGTCTGCATGTAGATTAATTCCCAAAGTTTCAGCCCTGTAGCTTTTGTAGGTCTTGAGATGAAAAAGCGTAAAAGACGCACACACGGACACACTGACACGCAGACATACACACAGACAACCCCTCGTCAATATGCGTTTTTTGCATTGATAGCTGCAAAAAATGCATAAAAAGTTGCTAACAAGAAAAGAAATGTTGAGCTGAAGCTGGAAAGCTTGTGCGGCACACCTAAAATTTCATCTAGATAAAGAAAATGATATTTTTGTAGGACTGCAAGGTTTAAATTCATATGCAATCCTACAAACAAATGCATTTTGTGTGGCTGAGCCGAATTTTTTAACTGCCTATGTATCAGTTTTATTCACAGTGACATACATTTGCTGTTAATAAATAGCACTTTCGGCCTCTTCATTTGCACTAGTTTCATGGTCTTTTTTCCTCAATTTCCTTCATTTTTCATTACTGAGCAGTCATCGTTATACTTATTTCTGTAAAAGTTTCTTTATGCTGAACAGCGAGAAATGAGTACAGAGTTTGAAAAAAAGATGCATTAGGACAGGAGTTTTTGAAATTCCAGTGGCGAAGTAAGGATGAAGAATAGAGTCCGAAGTTTTACCTTTGTAACCCTAATTACCAATTTCTCTCCTCTCATTAACCCTATAACTCGACCTACTTCCCTCCATTT